TTGTTTTTCGTCTGACCTGAATTTTTGAATCTTGCATCCAAGTAGGGACTTTCCACCGATAGAGCATTTTGCCGCGATCGACCGTGCATTGCACACCATTGTCGAAAAGTAATTCGCTATCCGCTGTTTTTCACATCGACGTGTTTTTAGGACATTTGTCACGGATGATTTCGTTCGCACTTCGTCATGTTGTATTGAATCCACTGCGCGCCCTCCGCTAGTTTTTGCTGATTAGCCAACGTGTAATCTAGTTTGCCAACTAGAACTCTTTATCTCAGTTGGGTACGACAAGGCGTAGTGCTCAACTCATTGCCTTTGAATTTGTGCCTGTGTTTTTGTTTTGGACTCTACCCTACCAGGACATAGCATGGGTACTGAGCACAGTTTATATACGCTGTCAAGGGTCAAGAGAGAGATATAGAGGTATAGCTTGTACTCTAGGCGCTGCACTGACTGGCTATTGGCCGACAGAGGAAAACTAGTGCTTGCAGCCTGGGAAGACGCTCTAGCTGATCCTATCAGGACGCTATTGCCCCTCTTCAGTCCCCGCCTTAAAAACTAAAACGAAGACATAACGGAAAAAAAACAGGATTGGAGACAGACCCTGCCCCAAATACCTAAGAGTACTAAAGTACATGGAACTCAGGCAGCCTAGGCTACCTTTCGTGAAAAGTATACCCTAGGAAAGGTGGTGGAAAGACCCCAGAAACAAGTTGTATGAAGCCAATAATTGCAGAAAAGCAAAACGCTTATTGAACGTACCCCAGAATGGTCGCAAAAAACACTAGTTGTTTTACATGTTTTAACCTTCGTCCATTTTGGCGATGAAACAAATTGCGTGTTGATGGGTGTACCGGCATTTGGCAAATCACTTTTTGAGATGAGGAACTTGGGCATATCATACTATGCAAGTACATTCAATCTATGCACTTACGTTTCGATCCATCTCCAACTAAATATGACGATATCATCTTATATTTCATATCGCATTTTTTTCTTCTGAAACCACAATTGTTTTTAAGCGATCAACAATAGATTAATGATTAGTGTTCCTGTCCAGGGATCAATGCATGTCAAGGATGAATTGAAAATCATTGAAATCCAATTGATGAGAAAATTACATAAATCCTCCCAGCCTCGGAGAGAAATTGAATAAACGGAGGAGCTGGCTCAGGCGGCACCAGGTTGTCCCTGTCGTTGAAATGAATCTCTCTGAAAATGGGGAAATACCCCCAAGTGCAACTTTAATGGGGGAAATTATGGTAAAGTGCTGGATATGGGTGGCCTATTTTTTAAGAAGCCCAAACGCAAACACCACGAGATCTGAAAAGGCTCAACTGTTGGGTGCTCCTCAGCTCTTCCAGGAGCAGCTGATGCGACTGATGCGATGGGTCCTGCCAGAAAGAAAAGCTTTCGGATGCATCAAGATAGAAACCAAAGACTTAAAGAAATCTGTTGGATGAATATGTTCCTGGCTGACTTTCATCAGGGTCTCGTGGCAGTTGGCCTTGCAGCTTTGAAACAGCTGCAGAGGAAAGAAGATGCATTCGGATCAAGAAAAAAACCGGAAAGGTTGCATTGGACAGGCTCTTGCGGGACCGCTACGCTGCAAGTTGGGGACACCCAAAGAAATAATCTGCCTTCAAATAATTTCAAATCTATGTGCCTTGCATGTTGATAGAACCTCATTGTTTCCTCTGTTTCTTCTTGTATGCGTTCTTGCCCGTATCCTCTGCAACCGAGAGGCAGCTTTGGTCAAAGCATCCTGCGCATGGAGAAGAATTACGAATCTGTGTTCCATGTTGAATTACGAACATAACAAGGATGCAGTGTTCGAAGATGTTCGAAGCATCCAAAGGTCTCAAGAGTTGCATGTTTCAAAATGTGAGGAAGAGTCAGCATGGCTGAGCCTCGAATTGGGGCACACCATGGTACTTGAGAGGGAAGGTGAAAGATCGAAAGGTAGGCGTGGGTTGGAACAGGAGAAGAGAGCAAGGGAACGAGGCATATCCGCTGCGGACGGACGTGGGTGGAGTTGGGGCGGATATCGAAAAAAGTCTTCTGGGTTTGGACTCGAGGGCGGGTACCAAAAAGGTAGGTTTCAGGGAGGGGGGACACGACACACACACAGACACACAGACATATATATATATAATACATACATATAGTTAGATATATGTATAAATATCAGGTTATGGGGTTTGCGAGGCAACGTGTAACTGGGGGCAGCACATTGTTGCAACGCGGATGGGGTTGATTCTGGTGTGTACATGTGTAGAACAGTGTGGGATTCACAAACGTGGTGTTTTGACCCCAGCATGTACCCAAAGCAACTGACTTAGGGCTATCCTGGTGCTGGAATCTTGGTGCGTGGGCCCGCGGGGTGACTTCTTGCAAACGCGGCTTTAGAGGCGGACCTTGGGGGAATCGAAGGGGGGGGTTCAATATAGTTGTGATAATTATGTTCTAGTTATTATAGTAATTCTAGTCATTATAGGTGTTCTAGTTATTATACATGATAACTATATATATACGAATATACATATATATGAAACATATTGAAATGTCATTAGCGAAGTCTTTTGGTTGAAGAGAATATCTTGGAGGAACCCTTGCGGAAAATCCACCAAATGATCTAGATATGCTGAGCAAGGGGCAGCGATTATGCTTCGGCAACCACTAGCCAAAGCGCAATATCCCACAATTGCTGGGTAGAGTATGCATATATATATATATACGAATCTATATGTATATTGAGATTATTTAGTATATATATATATATATATCATGGAATTATTATGTGTATATATATATAGATACATATCTTTCACTATATTGTCGAAGGAAGTTGAGAAGCTAAACTTCCGACAATATGGACAGATGAAAAGCAGAGCAGGGCAGAGGCAGAGAGAAGAGAAAGTTCAGAAGAGAAAGAGTCAGAAGAAAGAAGATGCAGATGCGCGAAAAGGTAGGAAAGTCGCGATTCACTGTGTTTTTTCCAATGATTTGTGGTTCCGGAGGGTCGAAAAGTAGGCTCGCTAAAGCGGCGGGTGCGGAGACATATGGGGAGATGAGACATGAAAAATTGCACGCCGTTGTGGCGCGAAGCACATTTCCAAGTCAAAATGCACAAAACACCAGAGGATCGGACCACTTTTGGCGCTTCAGATGTCGAAAAAGTGCACGCCGTTGTGGCGCGAAGCACATCCCCAAGTCAAAATGTACAAAACACACCAGGGTCTGACCACTTTTGGAAGTTGCGATGTCGAAAAAGTGCACACCGTTGTGGCGCGAAGCACATGTCCAAGTCAAAATGTAGAAAACACACCAAGTGCGGACCACTTTTGGCACTTAAGATGTCGAAAAAGTGCACGCCGTTGTGGCGCGAAGCACATTTCCAAGTCAAAATGTTAAAAACACTAGGGGTTCGGACCACTTTTGGAGGCTCAGAGGTCGAGTTTCGAAAAAGTGCACGCCGTTGTGGCACGAAGCACATTTCGAAGTCAAAATGTGCAAAACACCAGGGGTTCGAACCACTTTTGGAGGCTCAGAGGTCGAGTTTCGAAAAAGTGCACGCCGCTGTGGCGCGAAGCACATTTCGAAGTCAAAATGTACAAACCACACCATGTTCGGACCACTTTTGGAGGCTGAGATGTCGAGTTTCGAAAAAGTGCACGCCGTTGTGGCGCGAAGCAGATTTGGAAGTTAACATGTTAAAAACACTAGGGTTTCGGACCACTTTTGGCGGTTCAGATGTTGCTTCGCTTAACTCGACTACACTACATGACACTACACTTTGCTGCACTACACTACATTACATTACATTACACTACACTTCACAACACTACAGGTTACAACTACAACTACACAACTACAGTCCACTACAGTCCACTACACTAAATTACACTGCACTACACTCTCTACACTACACTTCACTACATTACACTACACTACACTCCACTACACTACAAATACAACTACACCTACCCAACTACACTCCACTACACTCCACTACACAACATTAAACTACACTACACTACCTTACACTACACTACACTCCACAACACTACAACTAAAACTACACAACTACACTCCACTACACTACACTACCTTACACTACACTACATTACACTACACTAGACTCCACTACACTACACTACATTACACTACACTACACTACCTGCCGCTACACTTCACGACACTACTCTACACTACACTCCACTACCACCTACAACTACAACTACACTCCACTACATTACACTACATTACATTACACTACATTACACTGAATGACACTGCACAAAAGATAGACAGGTAGACAGCTAGACAGATAGATAGATAAGATAGATAGATAGATAGATAGATAGATAGATAGATAGATAGATAGATAGATAGATAGATAGATAGATAGATAGATAGATAGATATGATAGATAGATAGACAGGTAGACAAGAGTGAGAGAGATCAATCGCCTTTCAGTCCAGCAGTGGCTTCGCTCTGCCATCTCTGATTCACAACAACCAATCTCTCCTATAGGTTTCCTATTTTTGAAACTTCCGCCACCGCCTTGTGCGGTACTACTGGTATATCATGTACGATTTTTGAGACTACTGCAACGCAGTCCGTCGCAACGTTCTTGCTACGACATTGTTCATCGCGGTTGTTAGGGTGAACGAAACAAAGTTCTTGAGCAATCTGACATTGTCGAGTTTCAGTGCGGGTCTTGACTTCGGTTGGGGTGGGGATGTATGTAAACGTGGTGGATGAAAGTGCATGTGCGGCTGTTGGCGTTTCCTTGTAGTCCGCCTATGTTGCAAACCCGGCTTTAGAGGCGGACCTGGGGGGAATCGAAGGGTGGGGGGGGGGCCCCCCCCCCTTGAAAGGCGGACCGAGACATAACCGGCCCAAACTCTTGCACTTGCACCGCTCGCCCCCTAATACTTGCTACGCAAGGGGGAACTCAGGTAGCTCACCGCTACCTTTCGAGACTTCAAATGAATTCAAATGTTAGGTTCATCTTGTCCATCCCAATAGGCATTGTAATCATTTGATACTCTATGTTCTGCAAAGGCCTGAATTGCTTGATCTTTTGTTTGATGACTTTGATGCTTTTTGCATCTCACAAACTGTGAGCTGATCTCCTTGCAGTCTTTGGTTTCTTGAAAGCCCAAAGATCGAATCTGACATAGGCTACCGCTGCCAGAAGCACTGGCACTGACCCCATGCCTCCCGTCGAAGGAACACAGCTGGGTGTCACCAAAACAATTGGAGCGCTAGCATTGCGCTAGCTTCATCTTGCTTCTTGCAGAACATCCAGAATATCATCCAGAAAGCCAAAGCCACTACCGGTAGCGTCATCTAGCGTCCGAATGCAAAGTCTAATGGTTTAACTTGGTGAGAGCCAGCCTTGCCATTGAAACCATATGGTGATTGTGGCCCCAAGTCTTGACACCGATCGCCACTTTGGTTGGTCTGGTGACCCCAGGATCGCCTAAGTTTCCGGTGAGGAGGGTGTAAGGATTGACATTTCATGCGTGATGGTGTTCAAATTCTCAAGAATTCTCAAGATTGTTTTGGGGTGTTAAATTCTGGTGCCTTCTCCATAATCTACTTTTGCCGCCTTCCTCTGTATCCAACTATGTCCAGTTGAAAGCGCTTGTCGCTTGTCCTCTACTAATATCTGAGTTGGGGTATTTAAAGCATGATCTCTTTCGAGATTGACTGCAGACATCTGGAGACAAAGGACTTTCCCAGACCTTCTGGTCCTTGAGCATCTTGAGCTTCCGTTGTCACTGCTCCCAATCCTCCCTTGTGAAGAGTTTAATCTGGGGCTTTCCCACCTCCAAGCACTGAGTCTCCTGACCATCCATTTGTTCAGACAGCTGATGGTACTCATGCTTCTGATGGCTGGGCAAAGAGTTGAAGAGCATCGTCAACTTCGCTCGCAAGGACTTTGCTTGCTCATCCACAAGACCTCAGCTGCCACCAAATTATGACCACCTCAGCTCACCTCGTCCAAATCTCGTCCAAGCCTTGGCACCCCCAAACGGTCAGAGGTCAGAATTTTCGCCGAAGGGCGTACTCTGGCACCTTGTTTTCGCATGTCTACAGCACGCTGGTCCATGAGATCCTCGGTCACACTGCAACTATCCCCAAAGTATGCTGGTCTCATATTAATCAACACCTGGAACCCCATATTCCCAGTCTTGAGAATACGGCTCTTTAAAAACATGTGCTGTTTACGTTGTTTTCCCAATTTCGAGCTGATGCCGGGAAAAAGGTTCTTCAATTGGTGCCGAGCTTTGTAGGACTCCCAAGTAAGCGGGTAGGAATAGGTGGGCCATATGGATATTCATGAACCACGTCGTACCAGGTTTGAGAGTTTTGACTGATTTCCAACTGCCTGTGCAAATGGTGCAATTTGAACCTGTTGGATCGGCGTCGGTTTCGGACTCGAAACCATGGATTTTCGCAAAGCAAATGACTGGAATATACTGGAATATTACTGGATAAACCATGATAAACCCATAGTTCATAAACAGAATGCTACGGCTTTCGAGGCATGTCTACGTTAAGACATAGTCAGCAATAGACTACAGCTATGTATGGGGAATTTACATACACCTATAGGCCTAGTATGGTGCTCCCTCAGCAGCGAGTCGCAATGATGGCCTCAGAGGTTGAAGGATCAAGTTCCTCATGTTCAGTGATCCTTGGTGCGGGAGAGGCGTATGGCAAAGTGATATTATGCCATCGTGGTGGTGGCAGCTCAGGTCGACCTACAACGATGGCTTCACAGTTTATCCATCACTACAGGTTGCGTCTTATCAACATCGAGATTTCAGCAATTTATGTCTCGACATGTCTCGACCTGAAGTCATTCCTAGGCTCAGCAATGCCACTTCCTTGCCGCGAATTCGAGAAAGTAGGCCAGCCACCAAACCCAATCGATAGGAGCAAACCTTCCTTGTCCGGCACAAGATAGAAAAGCGTGCAGCTCATACTGGACAGGGTGTGTTTACAATGAAGCACTGACTCAAAGATACGACTCAAAGATACGCCTGCTCTGTTGTTTCTCTTCGCGAGGAAAATGGAGGATCTCCATGAAGTGGATTAAATGGTGCTTTGCTTGGCCAGATTCACCAAGCAACAAGCTCAAAGAGGAATAAAGGATTAGAGCGACAAGACTAGCCAGCTACTGACAGGGATCAACGCAACAGAAAACAACGCAGTCAGGTAGCTGAAGCATCTTGGTGGTCATAATCTTTCCGAAGTCGGTGGCTAAGGCGGCAAGTGGAACCTCAGGATGTGTAGGTCGGAACACTCGTGAACATACAGATCACACACATCAAAACGAGGCAAGGACAGGCGTTGAGTCCCTTGAGTCTAAATCGAGACAATCGTTTCCGAGTAAGAGCTCCAACAGGCTCTTTTCTGCTACAAAGGATCTAAACAAATACACAGCTGCAAGCTGCAGAAAAGGTGCGATGAAGGACACAATGTTGAGACAAACATCACTCAAACTGCTCCCGAAGCTCTCACCCTGCAATTCGCAGTGAAGCCAAACAGACTACTCGAGGCCGCATGACACCAAAGCCAAAGGGCATACTCCAGATTAGTATGGCATAACACTCTAGCAATCTTTGCATGTTCTCGATATTGTTTAAGATGAACTTGTCATTTGATGCCAAGTTTTTTCTCGGTCTATGGCCTTCATGTGGAATCTTTGATGTCTCCCGTAGAATCTCCACGGCATCCCGGTTTATGCCTACTGTATCCTACTGTGATCAAACCTGCTCGGCCTCTTTGATGTAAATCATAACTTGGATGCCAGACCAAAATGCATGGCTGAATCATGCTGAATCTGTTGGAGATTGAGCGTTAAAAAAATCGCTTGCTCAATTAGCTGCTGTTCAGTTGCAAGAATGCCTGAAAACTTAAAGCAATCAGTACGCGACTCTGCATTGTGGTTTCATGCTCCAGGATTTGAATCCGCAAGTATGCTATGATGTTTTTCTTCTGCCATGCAATGTCCCATTCTCAACCAAATCCGGCCTTCACGAGGTAGTTCAGAAGAGGGTTTCCAATCCAGTAGGTCAGCAGCAAGCCGAAAGCATCACACTTGGCCCTGTGAAGCGAGCCATACTTGTCATAGATGATGCCAACCAAAATGCCTTGGACTGTGACTGGCTGACGAAGCAAACGACAGAAATTCAGACATTTTTTGCGCGTTTTGCTACCGGGGTAATCTTCAAAATGAAGAACCTGATTCTCAATTCTCAAGGTCCCGTTTCCAGCAAACACCCAAGCCCTCTGACACTCTGAACCGTTGCCAAGGAGCCATAAAGAACCTGAGCCAGAGTTGTCAACATCTGCACTACTCAGGAGCCATGCCAATGACGGATGCCTTTTTTGATCTTTTTTTGCTGTCTTTGACGATGTGCGCGAGCAAACTGAACGCAAAGCGAATTTAGAAATCATCAAAGCTGCACTTTGTTCACTTTGTTCAAGTACAGCCTTCCCACGAAAATGACGCGATTTCCTGCTCATCCCAGGGCTCTCCAATATGGACCTGGACGCTAAAGCACCGGATCCCTTGATTTGGCCCTGGCCCATCTGGCCCGTCAGACTTCAGTTTCATTTCGCAGTCACACACCATCCTCGTTCCTGCGGGAAGCCACACACTGTCCTCAATTAGGCGCACATAAGTAGTTGACCAAGTCGTCTCTGAACGCAAAGTGTCAATTGATGTGAATTCATCCAACTCAATCAGTAAGTGAAAGTGCAAGCCATTGAAATTGCCTTCCTTTGCAGTCACAAAAGTTACCCGACGTCTCTGGACACAGTCTGATTTGCCAAACTCATACCATTCAAAGGGTTGTGGTTCTGCCAGAAAATAACTAGAATCAAAACATCTGGCATGATACTTCACCTGTGTTCGAATGCCAACTTCTCCATTGAAATGAGCATTCAATACGTTTTCCAGATCGCTCGGCTTCAAAGCAACAGTGGGTGCAAAGAGTGTTCCAGCAGCTCGTGGTATGAAAACGCAGTTTGGGCTGCACACTCCTCTTCTCACAAGCCCGTCTATGGTTTCGGCAACACCCTCAGAGCTAGCGATGTGTCCCAGAACCTCGTGAATTACGAGCTGATACGGCCCGGCCAAAGAGGAAGGGGAATGTCCGGAATGTCCACATTGTGTCAACAACTTGATTTCACTTCTCACTTCGCTTCTCTCGCTCTGGTTTCCCAGAGAAAGAGTTACGGCATAAGTTGTCTCTGAAGCATGTGCTGTAAGTTCCTTTGCTTGAGCCTCTCGGCCGATCAACGGGAATGGACTGACCATTTGCAGAGACTCCTTGATGTCTTCATCAAACTCTTCAAGATTTGAGCAGAATTCTCCTGCAGCACTTGAACTGCTTGAACTGCTTGACAGTCGAACTTCGGCTTGGAAGAGTTGAGTGGCATGGCTCCAGGCAGCGTGGTTCACCTCGACTGCATGAACTTCCTTGGCTCCTGCTGCCAAGGCCATACGACTCAGGAAGCAAAAGGCTCCGGAGCCCACATCGAGAACACGGATGGCACTTGCTTCGCTGGCGTCGACTGCATTGCTTGCCAGAGCACGGCGGATCGCATCCCAAAAAGCAGCGACCCGGACCCGGTCTGAAATCATGTCTGTGTGGTTCTGCAAACTATATTCAGAGTTCTGTGTTTCAATGCCTCGACCCTTTGAACTTCTGGCCTGCAAAATACAGCAGCCCAATTCTCTGGCTATGTCTGTCGGCTCACAGGGCGTATTTGGATTAGTCGCTGGAAAATCCTTCAACAAGTCCAAAAGTCTTTCTCTGACTTCAGAGGCCAACAACGACTTGTGGCGTCGCCAAAACTTGCGAATGCTGTCTTCGTCGTGACAGCCAGATACTTTCTGCATTCTATGCCAGCTCCGCCAACTCTCCTCTTCCAAGTCCAGTAAATGAAAGCGAATCTCTCTTAAAACAGAAAGTGTTTCAGGTTTCTTGAAGAAATTCTGCAAGCAAAATCGATTGCGACGCCTTGATGATGACCTGCTCCGCGACCGCGGCTGGCAGTCACGGCACCCAGATCTGGACATCATGGCACTGCTAATCTTCAAAGTCCGTTTAAGCCTACTTGGAAAGCTTGACACTTCTAAAAGCTGCTGGGTTTTGAGTTTCAAACCCGAGACTTACAGGAAATCTAATATTTGTCGAGTCATACATAGCCAGAGTCCAGTTCCAAAGAGCAAGCACTTCAAATTCAGAGTCGTTTCAACATGTTTCAGCCAACCGAAACCAAAGGGAAGCTTCTTGGGAAAATCGCGACATAGCCTTGACATAGCCTTGACGCCTTGACGCCATGAGCCAGACAACAGCCTCATCATGTCTGAAAACACAACGCCTTCAACACTTTCTCAGGTGACAAAGATGCCAGAAGTGGCCACTGGCCACGGGTCAGCAGGGGCAACGCAAAAATAACAATGAAGCATGCAATGATTCCGAATTATTCCCAGGGATGTTGATTATCAGGATTGTATATTATGGTTATATAAAGTTATATATATATATATCAGTTGTCAGTATTGCTATCATGATCGTCATGTTGGTGTTATCGCTGTTGTTATTATTGTGACTATTGTTGTCGTCAATGGCGCCAACGAGGGCGAGGAATGGCGAGGAGATGTATGATGGAAGGATTCATCATATCAATGAAATTGGTCATCGAATGTACCCTCCTAATTGCCAGGATGGAAACCCACAAGGCTGACCCTACAAGGTACAGTACATTTCCTGATATTGTGCCAACCAACGTATGCTTCACTGTGCCATGCATCAACACCTTGCACCTCAAATGAAATGGCAGTTGCCTGTGTCACCCTTTCCCTCTGCTGCCCCGCACAGCCAAGAAGCACTGATGGCTAGGAAACCATACAGAGCGGGTTGCAAACCCCAGCCAGCTAAAAGGCCACTGTGGCATTCACAAACACCTGACGCAAGTCTCAGCACTTTCCAAAATTTGATGAGAACTTACATGGTGTTGCCACCCATGCAAAATTGGGTTCTTCGTTTCTGTCTCGGCACAGAAAAAAAATATTGTCTCTTGCTTGGCCGGATATGAGCAGCCATCCATTTTTAGCACCGCAAAGTCACGGATCCAAGAGATGTAGAAGCAGCCGTTTTTATTAAACATGTTGAAACACAGGGGAAAATTCTTGGAATCCAAACTCTGCTTACATAGTTGGAGAATAATCTCAAGTCTTCTTGGATCGCCAAACCTCTCAATACGGAAAGCTATGCGCTATTGCGCGAGCAAAAGCACGTACAGTACGTTGCGTAAAGTACGATGCTCCAGGCTGGGAAATGTCGTCTTTCGGGTTCTGCCTTCTTCCCGTACTTTAGGAAGAATTGGAAAAAGGTGAAACTACTAAAGAATCTAGACATGACACTGCGGCAGCCATCAAACATGATCAAACTCCGCCATTGAAATCTCTGCGTCTTTGAAAACCTGGGCACCGTTCGGCCTTCCATAGCCTCATGTAGCCTCACTGGCCTCAACCACGAGTTGCCCAGGTTCTAGAGATTCCAAGATTGAGGCACACTCAGAGATCAGCTTTCGCATCTCGGATTGTTCCTGGGCGACTTCCCGTCATGTCTGTGGTGGACGGCTGTTACTGCCTCCTGGTATTTCGCATTTTTCACAACAAATGTGATCAACGCATATCAAAGCTATGGGCTATGGCCCCATGGCATTGTGTCCGGTGCCTGGCCTGTCGACTGTATCTGAACTGCTTGGGCGCAGCCTTCACTGCAGCAGATGCTTTGAGACACAGAGCCAGAAGGTCATCAGCTTCAGAGAGCCAGCTGATCCTAAGCACGGAGAATTCAGCACCAACGAAAAGGCCCCAAGAATTATCAACTTAGGATCAGCAAATTATTTTACTTCGAGTGATCCCCACCATGCCATTTATTCCTTTTGTTACTGGCAAATCTTCTCGCATTCTATCTGACATATCTTCTGGCATTCTATCTGGCATATCTTCTGGCATTCTACCTGGCATATCTTCTGGCATTCTATCTGGCATATCTCCTGGCATTCTACCTGGCATATCTTCTGGCATTCTACCTGGCATATGTTCTGGCATATCTTCTGGCATTCTACCTGGCATTCTATCTGACATATCTTCTGGCATATCTTCCGGCGTTCTATCTGGCAAACATTCTGGCACTTTATCTGGCATACCTTCTGGCATACCTTCTGACATCTTATCTGGCATATCTTCTGGCATTCTATCTGGCTTATCTTGTGGCATTTTATCTGGCATATCTTCTGGCATTCTATCTGACATTCTATCTGGCGTTCTATCTGGCTTATCTTCTGGCAGTCTATCTGGCCGTTGAGGTCCAGCGGTGCCCACTGAGCTCGGAAGGTCCCAGGTTAAGGTCCAGCGGTGCCCACTGAGCTCGGAAGGTCCCAGGTTGAGGTCCAGCGGTGCCCACTGAGCTCGGAAGGTCCCAGGTTGAGGTCCAGCGGTGCCCACTGGGCTCGGAAGGTCCCTGGCTGAGGTCCAGCGGTGCCCACTGCGCTCAGAACCTTGCGGTTGAGGTCCAGCTGTGCCGGAAGCCTTGAGGCCCAGCAGCCCACTGCACCGGAAGTTGGCGAAGAGATTAGCGAAGAGTTGGCAAGGCGGAAGTGGACATGGAAGTGGATGCAGAGGTGGCGGAGGAGAAGCTGGAGGACGAGGAAGAGAAGGAGAACAAGGAGAAGGAGGAGGAGGAGGAGAACAACTGTGATAAAATCTAACAACCCTCACCTGGCAGGTGGGGAAAAACAAAAGTCTACTTTACTGTGCCTTGTTGATACGTGTTTCACTGAGTTTCATTGTATTTCGTTGATTTCTTCTGTTCCATTCTTCTCAGAAACCACTACGACGCAGCCCAAGCGCTGAAGGCCAAAGGCAGAAACGCAGCTTTGGAGCAGCGCCGCGAGTGAACTTTGACCTCGTTTCACGGATTTGGCAGCAAGCGCCAACATTCCTTGTCGACCCAGCTGCAGGAGAATATTGCCAGGTACTGTGTGAAGCACAGTGGTAAGCCTTGCGCAGGAGACAAAACGGATGAAGCTCAAATAGAATGAAATAGACGTATGATGACGTATGCACGTGTCCTTCTCTGTGTCCATAGACATGGTATGCCCGTGGGAACGAAATGGTGGAATTTGTATAGACACATCACAATATGAAAACGTTTTCAACCCTGGAGTGCTGAAACTGCTAAAACCATGGGCCGTGGGCGGTGCCAAAAAATGGGGCAAAAGGCCATGGGCGGTGTAGCCTCGTTGTCCTTGCAGTCTCTGAGAATGGAATCTCTGCCTCTCCCAAAGCATTCTGCAGGATGCTCCGCGCTCCTTGAGACGCAAAAGACTCTGAAGGATCATAGGCTTTGGTCAACCCAAAACTAAATCGCTCAAGTTTTCAGGCTGTGAATGAATTCCGAAGTCCAAACTCAAATTTGACAAGTCATGCAACAGGCTCTTTGCTCCAAAGGCAAGACACGTTGCAGCACTTCTTGTGGCCCTTTGAAAAGCATCTCGGGGCCGTCAAGGCCTTCACCTTCCGCTCCAGAAGCTTCGTTTTGCTGCGCCTTTTGGGACACCGGCAACACCTTCAAGTCCGTGGCCTTGCAAAAGACATCAAAAGACATCAAAGACAAATCAAAAATCTCAAAATATCTCAACATATGGCTCATTATGGCTCCATATCTCAACAACTCAAAACTGAAACGATATTCACATTCCTAGCAACAGGTATTTCAAGGCAGTTTGCAGCAGTCCTACACGTTTCACTGAAGCCTGAAACTTGCATCTGTAAGTCAACTTGGGCACGTGCCTCTCTACTTGACAGATAACCAGAGACAGCCCTACGTGAAAAGTGAGTCAGCTCGGAAGTTTGGAAGTCGAAGGCATGGCCAGCATCCCTAGCATGGCCTTGTTGATTTGTCCGTTCGTCCAGAGCAGCTTCCAGATTTCCTCCAAACGAAACGCTGCACGCGCTGGACTTGCAAATCCCCAAAGCATGAAGGGTTCGTTGAGCGCAGAGACCAGTGGCGCACCAACACTGCCACCTGGTGGCGGATGGGGACACAGGCGGACAATGCTGAGTTCAAAACCACCTCCTTGAAGACAACTGTGACAAGCCAACCTTTGCATTCGAAGCTATACAAAAAAAGGCTTCCTAGGGGTACAGAACCAACACCTGAAAACTGATGCCAGCTGGATTTCTTGCAATTGTTGAGACACTAGGATCTTGTGCAAAATTATGGTACGTTCACTGCTCGACCGAAAAATCTATCTCGCATGTTTGATCTACCCTGGAAACATGAGGTGACAGCAGCTGTGCTCCTGTCGCCCAGTCTTGACAAACTCTGTTCAAGCTTAGTGACATTCACATAGCCTCAAGAGGATTTTGACAGAAACATCTTCAGCTATGAGCGAAGCTTCGGTCTGTGCCAGCCACGCTTTTGTGCAACGTTCCATGTCAAACCGGGTTTTCAGAGATCCATCTTCGTTGTATGGTCTCACTGATCGAAGAAGCTTCAGCACATCAGCATCCTTCATTAGCTTCGCAGTTGCCAAAAGCCTCATCCATCGAATCTAAGATCATCCTTTGAGACGCACATCTTTGCACGGTCAAAGACACACTAAAGTTGTAAGCGCAAAGGAAGTCCAATAACACAGATTCATGTCTCCTAGTGTACGATGGTATATGACATGTATATGAAAAATGATTAAATGTTATATTATTATTATTATTATGATATAACATTATATAAATGTTATTCTGAAAATGATGTTTGCTTTCAAGATAACAATTAAGTGGACTTGTGAGTCCAGCTCAAATCGAGCAGCGCATCGTCCCAAATTCCAGGACCCAATTGTGAATTTCGAAGCACACTCACGTTGAAGTCAACCTGAACATGGCTGCATAATGCTGCATAGCCTGCATAGCTAAAAAGTTGTGCATAAGCATCACTCTTCAAATCAACGAAGCACAAAAAAGCTATCTCAGCACTGTGCCGATGCTAGAATTCTAAAGACTGGCTCTCTTCCAAGTGGCTTGTTCTGCAGGATATTCCCAAGGAGTGACTCTCAAGCACTCAAGACCCATCTTCATCACTCTACGTGAATGAAGAACCTGTCGCAATGCTTTCTGGGCCTTGGGCCAGGAAGACAATGAAAACAATGGCATGGTGGCACAAAGTATTCACGAGGCAGAACGAAGCTATGAGCTGTGCTGAAAGGTAAAGGGTGGCTTGCGAAGTCTGAGGAATGCATTCAGCCTGGCTCCACACTGGGAGCTGCACTTGTCGACATTGTTTCTCTACAAGCTGCAAGTGCTTAGTTTGGCACACAGCAAGCTTTTGCAAGCTTTTGCAAGTTCAAAAGCTGCAGCTGATGTTTTAAGCGATTTACAGATCCACAAGGGACTGTTTACACTAGAGTCTTGTCATGCCTCAAGATCCTGAAGCTTTGTCGAACCTTTTACACAAGGAAAGGTTTACATCACAAATTGCTCTTGTATCTGGTGGTGTATTTTACACAAGCGCTTTTGCGCGAAGAAGTCATTACATACGGCCACGTCATACACGAGCAATCTCCACAGCAGAAAGTTCTCCAAAGCAAACTCAAGAACTGGGGAGTATGGGCGAGTGTGGGCTTACTTAGTTTATTTAATGTTTATTTAGGTTTATTTCAAGGAGAGCTGCGTTAAACTCACAGCCAGATAAAACAAGCCTTGAACCCCTGATTTCATGTCCTGAATCACCAAGAGTAAAGCTTCAGTCAGGGTGCTGACTGAACCAGCTCGCAATCAGCAAATGCAGGGTCGTTCTGGACAATTGCAAAGCACTTCTGCAGCTTTTGGATATCGCCATTTGAGAAGGCACGCTGCAGCTGTTGGTAATGGTCCTTCGAGTGCAGTCGCTGGCGTGCTCCTTCCAGACCTGAGCAGTCCAGCTTTGCGGCATCGGGCTATGTTTGCTCCCACGATACAAGGAAAGTGGATGAAAGTGGTGGAATATCCACATCCAAACTCATCTTATTTCATCTTTATCTATGGTCACTCGCTGAATCATGCTGAATTCACTAAAGGGAGACTCAAATGATAAAATGCTGGAATCTGATCTGTCTGATTCTGTCTGATTCTGTCTGATTCTGTCTGATTTCAAGGGACAGAGACTCAATGGGAATTGCGACTGCAGGTAGTCCAGGTAGTCCAATTGACGGCGCCGTCGAGTCGAGGTCGGAGCTTTCGGAGCTTTCGGAGCTTTCGGAGCTTTGGCCGAGCTCGCCGAGCTCTTCATGCGCGCTCGCTCGACGCTCGATTTATAAATCACTTCGAGCAGAAAAAAACATGAAAAAACATTGGCTTTTTCCAAGCGGACAACGATGAATGAACGGTTGATGTCAAGCAAACGTCCAAGTGCTGGTGTTTGTTGCCTTCCACTGAAAGTACCCCGGTCTTGCTGAAGTTTCATGTTTTTCAAAAACTGAACACACTGAACCATATGATGACCATATGTTTCATGTTCCATGCGTTCCATCTGACAATTGCCTGAGGTGGTTAACCGCGCCTGTGCAAACATCACTGGTGCAAGTCAACATCGAGCTCTCCATGGACCAGGGGAAGTGCAAGGACCCTCCATTTGAGAGAGATGTAACCTACCACAAGAAACGCAAACAATTCGGTTGTTCTTTTTGTGTGATTGTTGATTTTATGTGTGCTAAAGTATGCGAGAACAACAATACCTGCAAGCAGATGTTTTCATCGGCCTCTGCAAAAATGATCAAAAATGATCAAAGGACTAAACAAAGTGAATTCAATGGAAACAGTTTGATCTGCAAATTCTGCAGTGTTCGCGCACCTTGGGCCAGCAATGATCCACCTCGCAATCTGCATCTACCGTGCGCGGTAGCCACACGATGTCTTTCGCGCGAGATGCTGTCAGGCTGAGCAAAGGCACCTCAATGCTTCGGGGGATTTGAATTTGACGTCGAGATCCATCATCCAAGAATTGTGAAATTAATATAATTGATATAGAATATATCAGTGAATTCGTCCAAAATATCTTCGCATCTTATCAAGGTAAAAGGGGGCACCATGAATGCTGGTTCATAATGAAGCTGGATGCAAAACCAGCTTCGACAAATGAAATGCTGTGCTAGTGCAGTCTTAGAATCTACCAGAAGTGTGAATGCTGCACTGCCAGCATCGAAACCTTCAAAAGATCAGAAATCGAGTGTCGAAACACGAGTTGCACCAAAAAAAAGCAGCAACAACAGCAAGAGCAAAGCACCACCACCAACAGCATGTCTTCAGAACAAAATGATTCTCAACTAAGATTCACAACTTTTGCAGGTTTTTGACATGGTTTCGTCGGTCGAACAAGAAAGTAGTGCATTGAAAGGAATGGAGGAACTGCTATCCGCTGCTATCCTTGACAGGAACTTTTGACAAGTGGCGGACTTTGTTCATGTAGAAATCCACGTCTCTATTGGCCTGTTTGATTTTGAGGAATCCGTGGCAAAATGTGTACTTTCTTCAGGAACCAAGGGCTTCTCAAGACGCAGTAAGGAAGCGGCACTCTGACGGGGAAATATGATATCTAGGCCCTAGGCTGTTCATAATTAATGCAGACTTGAAGGAGCTTTGCAGCTCCCCGTTTCTACATACACTATGTACAAAGACTCTCGAAGTTTCCCAACCTCAAGTTATACAGAAGGTTAAGAAACACATCGTATCATGCAGTCAACTGTTTTCCAGCTCCTCGTAGATCCCTTGCGACACCAACGCCTCATGTCATTGCTGTGCAAATCTCACGCATGTCAAACATGTCAAGCGTTCAAGGCTTTCTTCTCGGCTTTGACATACTACAGCTTCTAAATTTTCTGCAGTATCTTGTAAAAAGCAACAGGTACCAGGAAACCCGAAATGTCACTAAGACGTAGTTGCTCCTCTGCTTCTTGCAAAGTGAGTGGCTTGAAATGCAGATGTACAGGCACTTGCGATACAAAGAATCAAGGGAAAGAGATTCTTCATCGCCTTTGCCGTGCTTGAGTGCTTGAGGCTACATCATGCATCATACATCCAACTCAAAGCACCAAGGGGAATGAAAAGTCAGCGCGCGCAGCAATTGCACATGAGTTTTCAAAGTGCCTTCCCGAGCCCTTCCTCAAAGTCATAAATCCTTGAGCCAGACACTCAGCAAAAAGAATCTGAATCAAATCGAATCACTTCAGTCTGCTTGGCCACACAACTTGAAGTGACTTGAAGCTGTGATCAAAAGCACTTCTCCGAAAATGTGTATTGATTCCTGAGCCTTACACCACGCCTAACTATTCTTCAAATCAGTTGCCTTCTTTGAACGACCTCTTAAAAACAGTAGAGCGATAGGCCGATGGCACAGTCTAAAACCATTTGAAGATGAGCTTTTACTATCTGTTACTGTCTGGTATTCTGCAATTTGGCACTTGGTTTGGCTGCGAAGTTTGCGAGGCAATCAAGCCGAGTCGCTGGAGGTAGAGGAAAGAGAACGTGCCCAGCGTGAGTATAATCACAGCAATCCACTCAACACCCTTCCTGCAAAGAGAAGACAAAGAGAAGACGAAGAGAAGACAAAGAGAAGACAAGCAGCTATGTATACGAAATATGTCTAGGAAGTATGCTAAGTAGAAAGAGCAGGCCTTGCTAATAGGTGCATAACAGCACACATACGCAACCAAAACCAGAAAAACCAGATGCATGCAGAAGCAACCACACATCTGAACGCCAGCGCTCTTATGCCCAAACCTTCGCTTTTTGAGGACAACTCGCTCACCAACAGCGAGCACTGGCGTATAAACCTGGCATCTCGGAGATGTCATGATCTTTCAACGCATCTTTCAACGGATCTTTCAGCGATTTGTTCAGAGGAAATTGTTTTCCAAAAGTTTAAAGAGGCATTTGAAGAAGGTATCCGTACATTTAAAGAGCCTAGTTTTCTGTGGTTTTTTGTCATCAATAAAAGCAATCCAGATGCAAAAGACGACCACTGGATGGTTTGGAGAAACCAACACTTCTCAGTGCTGCATCCAACTTCACCGGATCAAGGTGCCTCAGCTGCATTTCTGTTGCATTTTGATAACAGAATGATGCCATCGCGATACAGTGGATACTGCCCCTCAAAAGGAAGCTATTAAAGTTCAAAATTGTCGTTGATAAATCTTGGCAAGTGGTGCACTTTCAAGTGTGGCAAGTCTGTTTCTTGATTGATATTCCCCGGCAGATGTGCCTGATGTTGAACACCAACGTTTGTTGCAACTACTTTTGGTAAAGCTACACGTGGGAAGTCTGCAAAACTTACAGACTGCTGGAACATACTGGAAGCAGGACAGCGCAATAGGCAGAGACCGCAGGCATCAGGCATGTTTGGACCGCGCCGAGGACAGCAGATTGGGAGGGCCATGACCCAACAGATTATGCAAACGACATCGTGGGGACTCCATTTGGATCATTTGGTCGACTTCGTTCATCTTCGTTCTATTCTCATGGCACATTGGCCGCAACTTGGAAGTTGCGAAGCTACACCACCCCATTTGCACCTTGCCAAGAACCGCTGCCATCGGTGGAGATAATCCGAATGCATAGGCCATGTTTCCTTGACTGAAAAGGGTGACTTGAGCTATGTCAGTAAAGACTGGCTTGCACTTTGACACAACCCAGCCCCATGCAGGAATTGAAAGTGAAAGTGTTTGCACGCACAGAGAGACTCTCTCAAACTGGGTTTGCATTGCATGAGCATGTGGTGAGTTCTGCAAACCAGGTTCCAAGGCACATGGTTACCTAAGCTTCACGAGGCTTTAAAATAGAAGCATGAAATGCATCATACATCCAAAAGCATTCCAGAGCATCGTTGAAAAAGCAGCAAACACAACTGCGGCGACAAAAAACGGAGAAGTGGTTCAGAACCAAACAATACCAAGCAACTGCTTGCAGCAAGGAGGAGCTTCCGTAGTCAACGATCTTTCGGAGATTCCAGGCTTGAAGCAGACCTTTGGTTGACCTCAGTCTTCCAAGCTGGGAAGTTCGTAGTTCAGCTAAGGTGATCGAAGGTTCAAATTTTTGATCCTACAGGTATGGCAATGGTGTGCAAGCCAAGCAGCTTTTGTTGCGACTCCTGCAATTTGGACAGGAACTGAAGTAAGCAAGAACTCAAAGGACACCACTTCGGATCTTTTTGAGAAAGCCAAATCCAAACACGGAAAACCAGGCGAAACCAATGGAAGCCAGGCGTTTCCATCAGACCAGAGTGGCACCTCATCTCCATTGTTGCAACCCAGACCATGCGAGCGCCAGGTCATCGCAGATGCAAAAAGGAGTCCTGCACACAAAGAAGTTAGAGTTTTAGTTTTCAACGACAAAAAACATGAAATATCGCAATCAAAGTGCATAAGGATTCATAAGGCTTTCCGAAAGCACTTCGTCCTACCAGAAACGAAAGGAAAGACATCGAGTTCGGGTTGATCTGTGAACCTCGACTACAGCCCCAATGCAGGCAAAACTGGACAGTAGTATTCAACTGCACCCATGATGTCAAGGCTTTTGCCAGCGATCGGAGCAATTTCTTCAGGTCGGGAACTAATTACTTGGGAAAAAAGGTGTCCATGCGTTCAAATTCTATTGGAGAGTCCTTGAACAGCAACGTGAAGGAAGCAATTGCAACAGCGAATACAGAGATTCCCAGAGGGAAGAAAGTTTCAATTCGATGTAAGTCGATGTATTCTGAAAATCCTTCCAAGATCTCTCGACGGTGAAGCAACTTGCAGCTGTACCGGGCTCCCAGAGGTGAAAACACAGATGTGGAAACAACCGAGCAGCTAAAAATAGCAGTTTTCTTGGATGCTGCAAAGTAGCTTACAAGATCTTACAAGCCTGTAAGACGTGAGTTGGATCCATTGCGATGTGTTGTGAATGCTATGTGCAATGCTAAGATTCTTCGTGCCAAGGCACTGGACAACGCATAAGAATTCAGCAACGTCCGGCTCGTATCCGTTACAGCATAGACCTGGATTCAATACTTCTTAAGACACTAACATATACTAACATCCTGTGAAAAAGTCATAAAAAGTCCATACCCATGAAGCATGCGACAAAGTCTGAGAGTCTGAGAGTCTGAGGCCAGTGCGAGGGAGATGACAAGCATCTGTGTGTCCATTGCACTTCCGCCGGCTTCGTCCTCTTCTGCCTGGCCAAAGATCAGGAGGGAGTATCGGGGTCATCGGGGGCATCGAGGGCATGTGTTGCGAGGTGTTGAGGTCCACCAAACAAATGATTCTCGATCAAGCTATATCAAGCTACCACCACACTAAGGCTTGGTTTACTGCGATGCAGCGAAATCATAAATCCGCCAGTGCAAACTTGAGGCTGGGGGGGTGCACGAAAGCTATGGTTCATATGACTTGGACACATGGTAGGGCTTTGATATGGTTAGGACAGATCTTCCAAGACCGCTCCAAAATGACCCGGGAGCTTGAGAGGAGGTTCACATTTAAAAAAAACAAAACGTGTTGGACTCAGCTGCCCCTCCCTTGCTGAAGCAAGAGAGTAATCTCCAGCTAGCTACCGCTAGCTTTCGTGATCTGGTACCCTTGCACTCCTTTGCCAGTACGTTCAGATTTGGAAGTGATGCATCTGATCCCAATTGCGCTGGCAGTGGTTGCATAAAACAATGTATATCTAATTTCAATGATTGGCTGAGTTTACGATACTGTCTACTAAATCTTGTTCTGTTCCTGTTCCCAGTCACAGAAGAAGTTCCAAACAAGTGCAGCCAAGCCTATCATTTCCTTCAGGACTTTCTGTTTGAGAGGAAATCTCGTAGCTGCAACTACTTAAGAAACAGCAACAAAAGAAGGGTCAAAGTGTACCGAATTTCTTGAGCCTTAGCTTCTTTTCAGACCGGAAAGTCTTGACGGAACAACAGTTCTGCAACAAACATGTCGTCTCCACTGGTAGAATCGGAGCCCCTTTGATCTTCTTGTCATAGCCTGAGATCACAGATGATCACAGCTTAAGCACCTCTCAACATGCTTCTGAGCAATCTGCATGAGTCCGACTTTCATATATGTGATTCTTCGTCAAACGAAAGCATTCGGTGTGGTCAAAAGCCAAGAAACATCCCCACCAAGGGCTCTCAAAATGCCACCATTCTTCCATTTCTTCCTGGATTTCCTCCTCTGACTCCTTGAGACACCAACCAAATCCATTAGTCACATTGAATGTCGTGCAAAGACGAAAGACACATTGCACGAGTACATTGCAAAGACACATCACATCTGTCATATCACATGTCAGTACTGACGACAGCTTGAGAAACACCCCACTTTCATCGCACCCGCTGCACTTGCTCCGGTTCTGATTTCATCTGCTGTGTCCTCCACGGACGGAGCCACAGCCTTCACATGGTACTTTCGCTCGTCCTCGTAAACCTCTGCAGTCCTCCCAAGTCACCAAGGTTCACCGGGAACCAAAGACATCACTGCACTGCTCTTCCACTAGAAGCATGGTATTTCATCAAACGTGATCCATGATGATCCATGATGGTCCATGATGATCCATGATGATCACGGTCCTGTATAGCACGAAAGACATGTACACGATGAGTACCAGCATGAGGGATGGTCCCATTCTGACACCAAAGTTGTACCTCACTCAGATCTTCAGCGGATTCGCATCTCCATTCATTCTAGTCAGTCCAACCCAAAAAGATCTGCAATAGGATCTGCATGTCACATAACCGTGCGAACTCTGAAACTACTTGTAGTTTGGTGATCGAATCCATCAAACGTTGGCAAAAATCTGAAGCCAAGTAGCGTGTCCTTTGAACACAAATCCTGCAGAGATTCAATGCAAAGAATGTCAGAACTTTGTTTTGTCTTGTATTCATGCACACATCTTTTTACAAAATATCATCTCCATGCAAGATTGTTGGCATGCGAGGCACCATGTATATCAAAAAATATGGACAACCCCCAACTGGACGCACAGTCCAGGATGCAAGTCACTGTGATGAGTGTGATCTCGGACACCATGGTCTTCAACTGGGCAAGCAAAATCTGGTGCTTCTCTACACCGCAGATAGTTTGAAGTCACCCATTTCACAGAGTCTTGCTGGGTCAAGCATTCTACAAATTCTGCCGTCTGACCCGAATAGGCTGTTTTTGTTCACTATCATGAAAGAAAAAACATCATTGCAGAAAAGCACAGCACAATCCATGGTCGGCACTATGTCTGTCACCACATAGTGTGCAAATAGCATACTGGTGACAGCCGCGACAGCTGGTGTTTCTCCATGCTGAGATATGCCAAGATGCCACTGTACTTTGCTTCATGATGAGCAAACCTGTGAATCAAACAGTCGCGCATTGGACAGAAGCTCTGCAAACGAACTGGCACAGTGTTTGCAACCGAAACGACATGACACTTGGATGTAGCATGTGGCCTTGCAACCAAGTCCAGACGACCAAAACGACAACGTAGACATAGTCAAGGAATTGCCAGCTGCCCCAACGCCTTCGCTGATATCGTTGAACTGTTCTGACGGGTTTCTCTGGTGTCGTCCCTTTGAGGTACGTAGATATGATGGTTTGTTTGTGCTGATTTTCTCCAGGCCCATGCAGTCGAGCAGCTCGAAGGCATTGAACCTAAGCTTTCAAACAGCGAAAGCACAAACCTCCGATTTGGATGCAACCGGTTGCGCCAAATAGATCTGAAGGTGAATCTTGTATATGTGTAAATCGATGAGGAACGCAGCACCATCTTGCACATCTCATTCTACATCCCAGAAACCCATTTGCATATCAACTGCATGCCGTCTCGGATACAAAGGATTGGAAATGTCTAACGCCAAACACAGCTGTTGCAGTAGATTGTGCTAAGGAAAGGGCTCCTTTTTCACAGTGGAACTGGAATGGTTCACCAATGCCCAGGCAATACCAGCGGCAATTGCTGCAGCAAGGTCCATATTGATCTTTAACACTGCAAAGTTGTCCTGTCAACAAGCTGTTGTCAGCTATGAAGATGTGTGAAACACGGAGAAACCCAGCGGAAACTGCAGATATTTTGGTTTCAGTCCTTCCAGGTGTGGAAAAGCCGTTCACTTAAAATTGATGCCATGACATTCAGGTTCATGCCAACCTTGGCACAGAGAATGGGATGAACAGGATGAAAGATAGTTTAGTTTTGACAAGAGAGGCCCCGACAAAACCGTAGATGAGGCTTCTCACGTTCATGTTCGACTCTATCCAAAGAGCCGCCTGTCCATCGTGCAAGGACACACGCACAAAGTACCTCCTGATGCTACAGACAAAGTGGATTTTACTGCAGTGCGGCAAAGAATGCTTCAACATTGCAACGTGCCAAACCAGCGTTAGAAACCTGCAAAATCCCTCCAAACCACAGGATCACACACACATTCTCCAGCTAGAACACACAAGACTCCATGGAACACAAGAACCATGGGGAAAGGCTTAAAAGAGGAAAGAACACAATACGGCGCAAAAGGTTCCCGACATAGCAACAGAAAGGTTTCACCAGGTCATGTGGCCAAGCAGAGTGAGACTCTGAGTAGTAGAGGATAGTCAGAAGATCCGAGCTGCAAAAGCAATCAGAGCCTCTCTAGATCCGCATCGAATGTCAGAAAATGCAGGGCATTCTCGATATCTCTCACGGAGAGCAATAAACGTGCACAAGGAAAAAATCATCCTGAGAAGTCTGTCGACGTTGCTTGGTTTTGGCAAATGGTCCTTTACATTCTACTTTCAACATAGACCTTATGTTATAGAGTTCAAGTGTCATTGCCCAATCGGTTCAGGCAAAGAGCCTTCCTATCTTTAAATATGCAGACAAATACACGCAAACTTGTCGATTCGACGTGTTTCCATCAAAGTACACATGTGAATACACACGCATACTGTGCACATGATGTCTTTGTTGTCCTAGTATCATTTGCACAATTGATGCTTGCCAAGGTTCATTAGGAAGCAAATCCACATCCTAGCATCTTGCTTGGACAAGTGTTAAATCAGGCAAACACTGAGTATCAGAACACATTGTCAAGAGCCAAGGAGCATTGCAGTGTAGGGCCTTTTGAAGTACAACCTCACCGTCAATGCGTTCGCCAAAAATGATCAAACCTAGAACATGTTTTGATCACCTTTGAGTTATGTTGCAAGAAACAAAAAACACAATGGTAGAAAATGAAAATTCGAACCATGCAATTTCCCATAGTTTCCCCAGCTCTTACTATCCAATTTTCCCAAGTTTCCAAAAACCGATGAAGTTTCCGGACACCAAGCGGCTGGCTGAAAAAGGCGGCCACAGGGATGCCCACGTGCGGCACCACCACGGACCAGAGTTTGGCCCCAGAAGCTTGCCCGGCCTAGGAAAACTGACAAGCAAATAAAACAAAACAATATGATATATATATATATAATATATATATATACTATTATATTATTTATATATTCATATTTATATATGTATGTATATAGTTTATATGTTCGAATATTTAAACATATACATATTTATGTGTATAATAAATTATTCAATAAGTTTAAATATATATATATATGTATGTATGTGTTATATCTATACCTATATGTTTAAATTTATTGGATTTATATGAATATATATATATACATACATTTTTATTTATTTATTTGTTTATTTATTTATTTATTGATTGATTTATTTATTTGTTTGTTTATTTGTTTATGTGTATATAGACACAGATATAGATTTTGAAATAGATACATGTATATTTATGTATTTATTTGTTTATGTGTAAACATTTATATCTACATATATAATGATGGTGTCACGTTGAAATATAAACTCCCGATCAAGCTGAACGTCTTGTAATTACAGTGTCACAATAAAATATCCGTCGGCCCCAGCCATCAGTTTCTGCGTCGCCGGTGCTGCCTTGACTTTCTTCTTGGAACCACCGCATCGGCTGAGTGGCTGCGGTGAAAAGATTAAAGACATCTCTTCTTATACTTGAAGTAAGAACCCCAATAGCTTCACTCTCTGGGGAAAACCATGGCTTTGAAGCTTGGGATCTCGAGCATCTCCACCCGCGCACGCATGCGCCAGGAGCATGCTGAAATCATACGCTCTCGCACGCGCACGACAAGCTTTCTCGCTCCGCCTGCCACGCATCAGGCGCACTGTCCCATTTCGCGCCAGCGCTGCACAGCTTCCACCATGGCCCTTTACAGCATTGCTGGTGTGTGAAGCTCTACAACATAAGAATCATAGAATGTAACAATAAATCCTATTTTTATTTAAAAAACAAAGTATATAATATTATCTTATATTATACTATATTTTATTACATTACATTTTATAATATTATATAATATTATACTTGAGAGGGGGGGGACGAAAGGTAGGGGGGAAAGACAGGAGGGAGAGGCAAGAGAAGGTGCGACTGTTTGTAACGCAAGCACGCCGACGACTACGACGACGACGACTACTACTACTACTACTACTACTACTACGACTACGACTACGACTACTACTACTACTACTAGTACTAGTACTAGTACTAGTACTACTACTACTACTACTACGACTACGACTACGACTACGACTACGACTACTACGACGACGACTACGACGACTACGACGACTACGACGACTACTACGACTACTACGACTACTACGACTACTACGACTACTACGACTACTACGACTACTACGACTACTACGACTACGACTACTACTCCTACTACTACTACTACTACTACTATTACTATTACTATTACTTCTACTACTACTACTACTACCACTACCACTACCACTACCACTACCACTACCACTACCACTACCACTACCACTACTACTACTACTACTACCACTACCACTACCACTACCACTACCACTACCACTACCACTACCACTACCACTACCACTACCACTACTACTACTACTACTACTCCTACTACGACGCCCAGGCCCGTTAAACTTTACATTCTATTGGGAAGATCAACAAGGGTATTAGGGAATATTAAACTCCCACCCCCGTTAAACTTTACATTGAATTGGGAAGATCAACAAGGGTATTAGGGAATATTAAACTCCCACCCCCGTTAAACTTTGCATTCAATTGGGAAGATCAACAAGGGTATTAGGGAATATTAAACTCCCACCCCCGTTAAACTTTACATTGAATTGGGAAGATCAACAAGGGTATTAGGGAATATTAAACTCCCACCCCGGTTAAACTTTACATTCAATTGGGAAGATCAACAAGCGGATTCATGACTTCGTGGAAATTGCGTTGAAGAGTTTGCCGATTTCTAACGTTAGATGTATAAGGTAGGCATTTTGGACAAGAATCGGTTGGGAAGAAACTTTTGGTGTTTGAAAAGCTCACCCAAGCAGCTGGAATGTTTGTGTGCTTGTTGTTGGTGAATCGTTATTCTTGTAGGTATACCGTGTTGTCAGCACGCGGACTCGTTGGACGGGCCTCCAGGGAGTCGACTGAGCTAGTTGTTGACGCTGTGGAGGCGCTTCCGCCACGTCTACATAAAGTATCGTTTTTTGTTCTGTACAATGACGTTCCGAACTCCGAATACGTGGGCCCGGTGGAGGGGCCTCCAAAGGGTCAACCAAGTGAGGGGTTGACTCTGTGGAGGCTCTCCCACCGGGTCCACAGAAACTATTGTTTTTGGTTAGTTGTTGACTTTGTGATTTCTAGCAAGTTTACATAAAGTCCAACCGGGTCCACAGAAACTAATGTTTTTGGTTAGTTGTTGACCTTGTGATTTCTACCAAGTATACATAAAATATCGTTTTTTGTTCTGTACAATTACGTTCCGAACTGTGAATAGGTGGGCCCGGTGGAGGGGCCTCCAGAGGGTCAACCAAGTGAGGGGTTGACTCTGTGGAGGCTCTCCCACCGGGTCCACAGAAACTATTGTTTTTGGTTAGTTGTTGACTTTGTGATTTCTAGCAAGTTTACATAAAGCCCAACCGGGTCCACAGAAACTAATGTTTTTGGTTAGTTGTTGACCTTGTGATTTCTACTAAGTATACATAAAGTATCGTTTTTTGTTCTGTACAAGTACGTTCCGAACTCCGAATACGTGGGCCCGGTGGAGGGGCCTCCCGAGGGTCAACCAAGTTAGGGGTTGACTCTGTGGAGGTTCTCCCACTAACAAGGGTATTAGGGAATATTAAACTCCCACCCCGGTTAAACTTTACATTGAATTGGGAAGATCAACGAGCGTATTAGGGAATATTAAACTCCCACCCCCGTTAAACTTTACATTCAATTGGGAAGATCAACAAATGTATTAGGGTATATTAAACTCCCACCCCCGTTAAACTTTACATTCAATTGCGAAGATCAACAAGGGAATTAGGGAATATTAAACTCCCATCCCCGTTAAACTTTGCATTCAATTGGGAAGATCAACAAGGGTATTAGGGAATAGTAAACTCCCACCCCCGTTAAACTTTACAGTCAATTGGGATGTTGATGATGTTGATGATGTTGATGTTGTTGCTGATGATGCTGATGATGATGATGTTGATGAAATGAGGGAAAAATTCGTCATCCGTTTGCCCAAACGAACGACACGGGGAATCTCACAAAACATTGGCCCTGCGCAGTCAAAACGCACTTTCCCGGGCAGCACATCCGTCCTGGCCGTAGTACTACTACTACTACTACGACTACTACGACTACTACGACTACTACGACTACTACGACTACTACGACTACTACGACTACTACGACTACTACGACTACTACTACTACTACTACTACTACTACTTTTACTACTACTACTACTACTACTACGACTACTACTACTACGACGACTACGACTACGACTACGACGACTACTACTATCATTCGTATGGCACCTATCTCACTAGAATTTACCAAAGAACAGAAAACATCATTTTTTCGGGGTTGCGCTTCATCTCGCCTCGATGAAGCACAACCAAGTGCTTGGGAGCACAACCAAAGTCATTTATCGCACAAAAATGAGCTTGGTTGCGCCCCCAAACGCTGGGTTGCGCTTCATCTCGCCTCGATGAAGCACAACCTTGGAAAATGATATTTTTTTTATCTTCTTTGGTAAATTTATGTCATCCAGACCGTAGCATATTCTAACTTCGCGAAAAACGCGAAAAAAAAACGAAAAAAGTATCAACGTCGGAAAAGCGAAAAAGCAAAGCAGCAAAATCTAAAAAACACAAAAGCAGAATAAAAGGAGAAAAAAGAAAGGAAAAACACGGAGAGGCTCAAAGGGAAAAATGAAACAAGAGTTACATTTTTTGTTTTTCACGCTTTCTTTCAAGTTTTTCGACAGGCAAAATAATCTATGGTCTGGAAGACATAAATTTACCAAAGAAGATAAAAAAATATCATTTTCCAAGGTTGTGCTTCATCGAGGGGAGATGAAGCGCAACCCAGCGTTTGGGGGGCGCAACCAAGCTCATTTTTGTGCGATAAATGACTTTGGTTGTGCTCCCAAGCACTTGGTTGTGCTTCATCGAGGCGAGATGAAGCGCAACCCCGAAAAAATGATGTTTTATGTTCTTTGGTAAATTCGAGTGAGATAGGTGCCATGCGAATGATATGAATAGGGGTCAGCATGATGTTAACGTTTATGTTCATCGTGGCACACCCAGTGGCGAAATGCTTTGATCCAAACATATCCGACGGCGACATGATGACATGATACACTCCACTACACCACACTACTTTTCACTACTCTACATTGCACTGAATGACACTGCACCACAAATAGACAGGTAGACAGGTAGACAGATAGACAGATAGACAGATAGACAGACAGACAGACAGACAGACAGATAGATAGATAGACAGACAGATAGCCAGGTAGACACATAGATAGATGAAAGAGAGAGAGAGAGAGATAGATAGATAGATAAATAGATAGATAGATAGATAAATAGAAAGATAGAGAGAGTTTTGAGCGATAGATGGGTGGAGAGATAGAGAGATAGATAGATAGAAAGATAGATAGATAGATAAATAGGTAGATAGATAGACAGACAGATAGATAGATAGATAGATGGCTAGATAGATAGATAGATAGATAGGTAGATAGATAGATAGATAGGTAGATAGACAGGTAGGTAGAAAGACAGATAGACAAATAGACAGGTAGACAGATAGACAGATGAAAGAGAGAGAGAGAGATAGATAGATAGATAGATAGATAGAGAGATAGATAGATCGATAGATAGGTAGATAGATAGATAGATAGATAGATATAGATAGATAGATAGATAGATGGACAGATCGATAGATGGATAGATAGATAGATAGATGGATAGATAGGATAGATAGATAGATAGATAGATAGATAGATAGACAGACAGATAGCCAGGTAG